ATTCGATATATATATAATTGTCCGCTGCTTTAATTGTACGACGCAAAAGCAATCGACAAAATACATTTATATCGGCAAAAAATTCAAAATGCGACGCGAAATATATTTGTGTCCAAGCTAAAGAAATAATGATTTGCCCATCAGCATTATAAAACGATAATTCATAACTTTTATTTTCTTCTATTTCCTTTATCGTTTTGATTTCTCAAAAAAATCAACCGCGCGAGATATCTGCTTCGACAAATAGCCGTAATACGGATCGTTAATCGTGCAAATCAATTAATCGCGCGCGGTATGACCGCTAATGGTTCGTGGGGAGCGCTAGCGTTTTCTCCTAGTACTTGTCGCGATCGCGCTTCGGGGAGTAATGCGACGATACACCGAGTTGCTCGCAGCGTGTCCCGTTTGGTCGAGCAAGGTTGGCGCGCGAATCATAGAGCGGCGACCTTGCATACACAAAAACGCGACAATACAAAACAAAAACAAATCCGCGTGCCAGCCGATCCGTTATCTATATAAAACGTTTAATGTACTGTAAAATACAAACGCTGAATATTTTGTTCCTTGCATGTTAAATCATTGTAATTTAGATGAATAGCTAGATATCCCTTGCGCATCAAATTGTCTATTTGATAAATGCGCTTTACTCTATTTTTATTTAAAAAATATTTATAAATATAAATAAATTGATTGCTATTACTTTTTGTTAGATTTTTATATTTCAAATAAAATTATGTGACTTATTAATAAATCAAAGACTTTTCTTGTAGTTTTAATAAAACGAGAAATTGAAATATGTGGCACCTCGTTCCTCTTATTAATCGTACAGTTTTACTTTTCCAGGAATTACCTATTTATATTAAATATAAATTTAATCATTTACACGTAAAATTAAAATCTGCTATTAATAAAAAACTTGTTACTACTATTGATAAAAGATAAAATTAGTAGAACAATAAAAATCAATATTATGTCAGATAAAAATCAATAATTGATTAATAAGATGACAGATCGATATGCGCAGTAAAAATATGGTTACGGCATAATAGAGTTAATAACAAATCATAGCGCAGATTGCACAAGTCCTGAATTCACTGAATATAGAGACGATGCTTTAATAAATTCATGTTGCTGTGTACTACATCTACGAATTAATGACAATTAACTAACGAAATAATTAAATCATATTGTACATATCGGTATAATTAAATCGCCCATGAATAATTAATCTAACAGATATATATATTATGTATACTTGTTCCAGTTTTGCAAGTATGTTATCTGCTCGTCTATTCATACCTTTAGCTATAGTTATGATCATACCATACAAATATTAATATACTGTAACTGATAGGAAAACCTACCCTCATAACTAGCACGACAATGAAAAGTTCACTGTTCTCGTTACCGGAAGATATTTTATAAGCCTGTTATCTATGCGTGTCGGAACGTCGTAACGTTATGTCACGATATTTCACGTTGCGGAATATTATCCATCTGCATGCTCGAATATATAAAACAAGCGACATACTCTGCACGAAATTGAACCTGCTGCAAAGTCAGATGTCGCAGAGGCGCGTCGATTTCACCACATGTCATATCCGAAATTTCATGATATATAAAGAGAAAAAGATAGAGAGAAAAAAAAATGATATTTACTCGCAATTAATTCATTATTCGCAAATTGACGAGATTTGCAAAATTGTACATCTCTTTAGAGAATTTCGTTTCTTCGCCATACACATAATAAAGTCGACGCATCACGGTACATATGCATTGTATTTATAGGAGTATAGATTATCACGTGCACGTAATACACACGCGTTCAGTTGCGGTAACATGGGAATTATGGTGATATTATAGGGGTTAACCTAATCCGCGTTGAAGGTTACGAAGAAATTTACAAGCTTTCATATACATGCGCGCATACGAGTACTCGATATACGAACGGAGTCTGTATGGTGGCCACAATGCTCCCCCATGGTAACCCGATAATGTATTATGGATACGTGAAATTCGAAGAGAATCTCACTTACCGCAGGAAAATAGAAAATGTTTAAGCGAGTATTCGCGTATACGAGATCGTTTCACGCCGCGTCTAGGTTTTCCTTCTCACATTTTGTCACGATATAGACTCAAATCTCAATCCGTTCCTTTTCAATAAAGGAGCCTGAAAATAGCGCGTGTGTATTTCACAGAAAATGTGATAATATTATTGTATACAACATAAATGTAATTTCTATATGTATTTTACTTCATTTCTCACGCGTTCGTGCTGAAACTGTTTCGAAAACGATTATTCTTCGCGTAGTTCGCAATAAAATTTCAAGGTATCATTTTTCAATATCGATGACTGTTTTTTTTTGTTTTTTTTTTCCTCCCCGATGTGTTTGCGTGACATTCGGACCTGATATGTGACGTTCGGTCTCTCGTATATAACATACCATGACATTACAAATTTATTTGCGACATGTTTGGTGTGCTGTAAAATTCAAAGCACCGAAAGATATTCTTTGGTACTTGCAACGCATGGGATGCGAACGCGTGTAAGGTTTATATCAGGGTTATTCTCTCCGATGCGCGGTTTAATGTTGCGCGTAATATGCGGACGTCGTTTGCCACTGGTAGCACATGTTTACGTATGGTTTATTCGATATGTAGTAAACCGTATCAGGGAGCTCAATCGCGAGCAACAAAAGAGATCACGAGTCGTCCATCGTTGTAGTCGGAACCTGTCACGTCGGGATAAGAATTTTTACGATTTCCATCCGCGGCAGACTGCAGTAACCCAATTACAAAATCACTAAGCTTGTTAACCGTTAAAACCCCGTAAGTTTGTTTAGCCTGGGGCCGTTCGGAGGATGGACGGACAAAAGTAAACAATGGGACAGAGAGGAAAAGGAGGAAACAACGCGACGGAAACCGAGAGGGAAGGGGGAAGGGATGCAAGATAGACGGAGGGAGCGACAGAATAATTCGGTTAGCGATGAGTCGCGTTGTTACGCAGCTCCGTATATTGTGTCCATTAACGGTATGCACGGTCAAACCTAATTATAATGGACCCCTCTAACCGCCGCGACGTGATTGGTAACGGTACCTTTTTTGCTTTTAACAATGCTGCTGAATAGAATCTCCTTTATGCGCGTCCATCCCACGTCAGAAGATTATTTGTACACACGAGGGTGGCATATATATAGATCGTGATGAGCGCGCGATGCATTATGTCCGATACGGCGCAAACCATAATTGAATGTCGAATTACGCGCTACCGATAGATACCACTAATAACATTTGCATTTCGCTGTAACTTCATCCATCACACAGAGAAGAGCCTCCCAGCAAAGCCATATTGTATTCAAATCCGAAGCTCCAACAAAAAGGAGCCGATGATTGCAACGTCAAAGATAAACAGAGACGATATTTATCAATCCGTTGGAATGCTTCAACGAAAAGAAGACTCTGTAACTGTACTGCTTAATTTAAAATAATTAAAAAGATACAACTCTGTGCGCTTCATATCGGACACGCAATCAAATCAAGGGTTAATCGAATTGCAATTTCCATCCGATCTCTCACTCTCTCTCTCTTCAATGTCCACGGACTTGTCGATAATCGATTCCGTCGTCGGGACACTGATACACGTCCACCCATAAACCATTTTGTCTCGGCGCGGAAGAAGCGCAGGGTTATCGAGAAACACGATTTCTCATCCCTCGCTTCTCAACGAGATGCTAACGAACCTCTGCCTCTTTTTTCTCTGGCGCGACGTAACTCTTGGCGACAGGTCGATCGATCGGCCAGCGGCGTGTCAAAGACGCCGATTCAGGGAAGAAAACCGACTTTGCGATATCGATGTCCCGATAGCACGGCTCGCTGATGCAAGACCCCGCACAAGCCGCGCGAGGAGTCAGAGGTCAAAGGCGGGAAGCATCGATCAAAGTTTTCGCGCGATTTATCCCGAAGGCATCGCCATAACGAGGCGGGTCGTCGCGCCATCAGCTTTTTCCATAACGTACCAGTCCGCGATCCCCCTTCTCTCTTTTCCGTCCCATCGCCGAAAACCGGTTTTCTTTCTGACTCGTCACCACGCAGCATCTGGCACCGCGGAGAATCCACATTCCTGAGATATTTCCGAAACGATGACAACTAGGAGCATGCTCCTGGGACCGATTAGCCTCCTCCGTCGATAGTCGGAAGCCCGCGTTTACGCGCTAGTATTGCCCCGAAAAAAAAAAGAAACATTAAGGTGTCACGCGAACATTGGTCTCGCGGGACCGTTTCGAGTAAGGTAGAAGCGATGAAATCATAGAGGCCGATCATGAGGATCCAAAAGAAAGACGTCTCCGTACCGGATATTTCCCCTTGAACGATCCTCCGCGTCTAGCGCCGAAGGATGCGGAAGTCTCGCGTTTCTTCGCTATTTGTGCAAGTGTGCGTGACGCTAGGATTGTTTTCCCAGCTCTTCCTCGTGAGATCCTCGGAGTCTCCTAATGCGTTGCACGTTCTTGCATCCTCGGCCGTCGCGCCGATCTCTTTCCGATGTTGCGACAGCTTGCACTGAGATACCAGCAACGATATTTTGTTCTTTTTGTGACAAACGCAAACCCCGTCAGATCTCGTGCCACGATAGAGCGAACTCCGAAATTAAACAACGATATATTTTGTGACTACTTTTATGCGTTATACATTTTATGAACTTTATATAAAATAAAATAATAAAAAGAATGTAAACAGGATATATCTTAATGTGAATTAGAAAATTTTCTAATTTACAATCGTAATTTTAGTCTCTTCTCGTTGATTCTTTGAAAAATTTGGAATCGTTAACTAAATCAATTAATATCTATATGCCTATTGCCAATACCATTTCTGATCAATATTTTAAATTTCAACTTTCTAGAAATCACCATAATTTATTATTATATTGCCATCCAAAAGCTTTTATTTGAAGCTAAAGCATCGAAAAGAGGTATAACGAATTATTTCGACCTTTGTTTCAGGGAAGGGACGGCTTTATCCGGCCTACAGTCTAAGTGGCAGCGAGGGTGAGGATAACACCTCAAGTTTACGTAGTCGCGCCTATCCGCAAAATAATCATCAAACCAACCAATCCCATCACAATCATTACAACACAAGTCAACACAAGCAGCGTGCCTATCAACAGCAACAACAACATCCCCTGTATCATATGCCCGGCAGTGGTGCCGGCCTCAGCGACACACCAACTTCCGGTAACGCATCTGACGAAACACTCACTGATAGTGATCTTATCACTGTTGCTCGTGATTCTGCGCTGCTCGTCCATAACGGTGAGTAAATTCATTTATTTGTATATACATACATCCATTCGTGGTATTTCATATTGCAATAAGTATATGATAAGAATATTGTTTTATATATTGTTCCAACCCAATATAAAAATTTAATATCTACATCCACGGCTAATAAGAGATGAAGAATTATCCGAGCGCTATAACAATAACATGTCGCAATTTATTTTAACATCAAGTAGGTGTCGTGTTTTTTTTCCGCTTCTCGTTTGCTCAACTAATCTTCGATCGCGAAATCGCAAGGAGCAATGTTAAACCGTCGTGAAAGCACGATGATATCAGTTCATCGCGTTAACGGAACAAATCTTTTGAAGATAATCCACAGGAAGAGACAGAATGGTAAAAGGACACGTGCGACAGAGTCGGTCATTCGCAATAACGCGAAATCGTTCCCCTACATTACTCAAACATGATGGATGGCCCTTGCGGCGATGAGGTGTGAGGCCACACACGGGGTTTGTCGTAGACGGGGGGTTATCGGCACGCCGGCTTGTCAGGGATGACGTATCGCTCCGAAGGTATACACCATATCTCGGAGCCCGTCTAGCCCATCCTGCACCACCTTCATCCAACGCGTACCACCTGGAAACCAGCTAGCTACGGCTAACTCCGTACTCAACATAGCGGACACTTGCGCGTGATAGGTATTTATCACTGCAGTCGTGCGGCGTAAGACGAGTAAATCAATTCATCGCGCAGCCGCTACCGACTATATCGGCCGATCGGAAAAATAAAGAAAAGAGGCAAGTGTCCGTGCGCAACACGATGCATACCACACGTAATAGGAGATCCGCGGATGGCAGAATGATAAAAACGATTTCTCGATGAGGCTTAAATATATACGCCATAAGCCGGAAGAATACAGAAGCTTCCGCAAATGGATAGAAGCATTATAATGGAGACGTATTCAGTATCGCGGCAGTAAGTGAGCGCACGTGACGCAGCATCGAATCTCCGGTGCGACTTTCGTTTCCGAAAAAAAAGAAGATACGATTGGAGCTTCCCCTTTTATTGAGCGTAATGCGACTGGCGAGGCTCGTAATATACATCCTACCGTAATTCTCGATACTCCATTAAGATTTCAGCTGAATCACAATGACTGCGACGACTCCGCGCCTCAACGAGATGAAAAGGAAAGCGGGAGAAACTTGCGGATTTCAATCTCTAGCATGACGGCCTCTATACCTATTCCCTCAACGTGACAACACGCTGGCGCCATCCATCATATGTACGCTTCTATTCTTCCACGAGCAAATAATTCCTGCCATCTCCCTCCTCCTCTATGACAGACCCGGGACACATCCTGGACGCATAATGCTCGAGGTCAATCCAGCTCTCGGGCGCGCATAAACGCGCAATTACAGGCTACGCGGATTAGCATGACAGTGGAAATCATCGCGTCATCCGGGGGAGCGTATTAGACGATTACATTATCGTTGCACACTGCGCCATGAAGCGTCCCGGATTAATAGCGACGCCTTCGATCATACCAAGATGACATTCGCCTCCCTTTTGGATTAAGAATTCATTACAAGTCAAAGTGATTATATTATGCCTAACTGATAGTTGAAAAATAGAAATATTTTCTAAAACTGTTTTAATTTTAATAAGATATATAGAATTTCAGAAAGTATCTTAAATCGAAAAATAATTTTTGCGTTATGAGATTTTCGCATAGATACTGATATTTTATTCGTTAATTAATTATATTAGATTTGTTAATTACATAGTAACTCTTTCATGTATATAAATGCGTAATGCGCGTTATATCTCTATATCTATATCTATATAAAATATGTATTGATACTTTGAACGATCGCATTACATTGCTCCGTATATAACTCTAAGCCAATTATGTTAATGGTCTTCAATTTTTCTACTTAAAATCCTTGGCGCAAACAGATTTGAAATAATAAAAACAAATTATTTTTTGCCGCAAAAAGCAGAATGAACCACGTTACATCATTCTCTGATTAACAGTCGACGCAATCGCCGTTTTCATCGTCGAGTGCCGAATGAATTAGGATTTTCGTCAGTGTACGAACGGCGGGCGTGACGAATTTCTCAATTCCTCCGCGCGCGGAATCGCGAGCCACGTTAATGAGACGGAAATAATCCCCCTTCGGGGTATTCATTCGTCCTGGTTGAAAGCCCTCCTGGGTCGGTCATAGTTCCGGCACAGAAATGGATTTCGCCGCAAAATTCCGGTCGTGCACTCTAATCCACGTCGTCGTCTCCCCCGATTTTCGATATTCACACGAAGGAAGAATTCCCGTCGTTCTTTCCGGGAATCCTCCTTTACGTGTTATAAATTTCTTAGATAAGTCCTAGTGTTCTCTTTCTCTGCTGTATAATTTTTTTCGACAAGGTACGCCTAAACTATGATAATTGTAAATAAATAAATAAAATTTTTTATCACACGCTATCAAAAATTTTTTTTCTTCGTTACTATTGGACGTTACCGCTCTTCATGTCTTACCATAATTTCGCATTTTACGAATATATTTAACATCGTCGATAACATCGCGCACGATTTATCAAATACCCTTTAGTAACGCGGGCTTTTGTCGCCGTTCGGATAATCATGGCTCGTTATATCGAAGAACGCGATGACTGGGCACTTTGATACACAAAAAAATGTCCTCTGTTGCTCATATAGAATATCGGATTTCATCTGCGTCGTTTCGCATTAACGAGCGTCTATCATCGCGAATATCTCCGTAACGATCGGTTCTGCTTCGGCGGGTCGTTAACACTTCGTTTGATCCTACAACTGACGATGTCTCATCGTTGCTTCACGTGATAAACTCGCGCGATTCACTCCGAGCGACTCGCTGCAATCTCGCCGCGATACCGTGTCGCAATATCGCGACGCTGTTTTCTGAATTACAGCCAGTAGCTAAACTCCGCCATTCGCGCTGACTGCATTTTCGCTAGGTAGACAGGCGCATAAATAAAAAATCGATACGTCCTTTCGTTCACGCATCCCACCGTTCCTCCTTGTTCCATCGCGCTCTCTCATCGCCTCGTCTCCCGTCTCTCGTCATCTCGCCCGCGTTCGAGACTCCTCTCCTTCGCGTTCTGTTTCGCGCCCAATTTGCGGCCCATCATCGCTACGGAAGAAGCAATTTCTAACTTAAATGAAACTCCCTCTTGCTCGCGCTCGCCTACCCCTCGATCGACAGGAGACGCCGGTCTTGAATTTCAGCAAGTAGAGTATAGCGCGAACAGGGCGCGGGGGAAGGATGCACTGGGAAAGCTCTTTTCTATCGCAACGAACATACAACGGCTATTTTCATACCTAGTATAGCTACCAATCGCTCTAGACCGCTTCCTACACGCAACTTTCAATGTTTTTGACAAGATTATGATGGGGGTTAACGAACACGCTCTTAAAAATGTCCATGTGTGATCGAATATTGCAAATATCATCTCCTTTAAACTTGCCATGTTGTATAAAATTAGCACAGCAATAATATAACGTACTTTACGCAAAAATTAAATTCAATTATCAATAATATGATAAATTTAAGAAACCTTGATAGATTTATCATCATGCAAAAAATTGACTCTTAAAATTATTACTTAAACAATCCTGTTCCAAATATCTAATCATTGATTTTCATGGCATCGCGATCTTTGTGTATTATTTCCAATAGAGAAACACATACATAGTCAACAGCATTAACACGATGCGTTATGCACGGTGGATTATCCAGCGTTCACTGAAGTACATTGTCCCGAAGTATCACTAAACCGCTTACCGGTTAGATATTACATCCCTGCCAAGATCATCGCGCAAACTTGCGGGAAACTGCAGCTGCAGCTACTTCACCTCGCGTCAAATCATTGCAGCGGGTGATCGTGCGGGATGAGCGCCGCATTCTGAACTTTTCTTTTCCCGGCCACAGATACTTACCACAAGGAGCTAGTTAACAGTTTGTTACGTCCCTGTCACTATCACGATGCAAAACCGGAACTCCTACTAACTAGCTTCTTGCGGCACCGCTATCTCGATTATCGTTTGTCGTCCATTCAGCGTATCTATTACATACATCACCATAAGCAACCTAGATCGATCGCGGAGCTTGTTTTACGCTAGCTATTCGGAATAACGTCTGCGAATGTTAAGTTCGCGGCGCGAGATTAACGATTAACAATCAGTTCCTATTTGTTCCTTTTCTTGGACGATGACAGCAATAATTAAAACATAATTATCTTTTAGACGTTTTCTTGATTTTTGCATTGCTGCTGTTATCTTGACTGACAGATTTATGGAACAGAGTTTACCTGTTGAAAGCGGTAACCGCCTGTTCCGTGCTTGCACTCTAAACTTTGAAAATTTTTTCAACTTTTCCCTGATACGGATGCTGATAACTGCATCGGCTCGCTCGGAAGGTAGTAATAAAGCGGGACTGACAAAGAAGGTTGGCGCTATCGCGTGGCTGGAAGTTCGCGAGATTGCCTGGCAGCCTCTCGATATGGCCTGAGTAGAAGCGCGGCGAACTTCGATAATCTTCTCTGCAGCGAGCGGCCCAGGGCCCAAGTTTGGCAATCAATGCGAAGTAACAGTTTAATTAAATACGGGTAACCCTTCACCGACTCTGCGCGAACGCGGACGCGCGCGCACGCTTACTCGAAGACAGACTAATCTCGGCCGCGTCGTCTCAAGGGCTCCAGCTGGATTCAACAAACGTGAGCGTTCGACGGACTCGCAAATCCGATCGTCGTCGTTATTCGCGTCCCGTTTCTCCTCAGTCCCTTCATCCTTTGCCCCTTAGATCGCGACACGTCAAACTTTGCGGTTGGCAAACAGCAATCGTACGAATACGATTTCAACCGAGATCGAGCCCAAGTCAGTTCGAAAGACCCCACTTCCGTGAATACCAGAAGTTGCGCTGAGTCCGCAGATTGTGTAGATCTGGGTTACCGATAAGGCAGAATAAACACGATCCTAACTTATCAGGTTCAATACGGCA